AAGGCTTTGGATTGTTCCTACTGATCTGTGAAATTACCTTCATCTTCTTCATGTTTTATTACACCTACAAAGAGCTGAAGGAAATGTGCAGGGACAAGATGAAGTATTGGAGTGACACCTGGAACTACCTGGAAATCCTCATCATAGGGTTTGGCTATCCTACCATAGTGTTCTACATTTACCTGTGAGTCAATGGCTATTTTTACCTAAATATTATGTTCATATGTTTATTTGATAAGGTGGTGATCAAAAGAAATGAATTGCGTTTCTGATTTGGATGTCTCTGTAAGGTATAGTTGTCCCATGCTTCCAAATTCTACAGTAAAAAGTAATGTTGTCCCACTCCTTTAACTATACTGAACTAGCAATAATTTAAATAATACATAATTTCTAAGGAAAAACCCACACAGTAGGTTTTTCCAATTGCGCAATTCTATCTCCTTCCACAATTCCAACCCATTTTGTGAGCTGTCTCTCTGATTTTTTTGAAGTGAATGGTTGCTGTCATTATAGCAAGTGCTTTCAAAATTTACCTTTCAATTTTGCATCTTTTGGGAGAATTACCAATTTCTCCCCTGCTGTGTTCCCCGGCGGATTGTGTTTCTCAGTTATTCTGCAACTTTATTGCACGCTCTTTGTGGGTTTAGCCTACAAAATTGGTAGCATAGCGTGGTTTTGATCCATGGATCTCTGGGTTATGGCAAAACCACGCTCTGATATCTCTGGCATTCTTATATAGATATGAGTTTGTGCAGACCATTGATGACCTTGCAGAGATATTAGAAATGAATTGGAACAGTCAACAGGTAAATGACTTGTGAGCAGACATGAGATGATGCAGCTTACTGGGCAATGTAGTTGCTATACACAGCAGGGAATGAAGGTTGGCAGCAATGTTAACAAGAGAAAGGCTATTCTTAACATGTTTCAGAGCAAACAAAATATTCAATGACAAGTGTTTATGCTTTTCTTTATATTAAGTTAGAGTGAAGAAAGTTGTTGTTCAGTTTACTTTTGTTGTGCAGGAAATTTTGGAAGATGAGTCCTGAATCCTGAGCAGAAACTTTCTCAAGCCTGTTGAATTATGTATTTCTTATTGAGGCTTTAAATTTCAGAAGTTTATTTTAAAAGGTCTACTCCAAGTATTCATCTTTCAAGTTTATTGTATTGGCCAATTTCTGCAGGAAAATAGCAGGGAGCAGCATATCTTCAAAATTCGCAGAGAAGCAAGGCAGGGATTATGTCAATTTGCAATCAGTGGCATACATTGAAGAGGTTTTCACCTACCTGGTGGGTTTCCTGGTGTTCTGTGCAACCTTCAAGTTTATAAAGCTGCTGAGATTCAACAAAAGGATGGGATTAATGGCTGCCACCTTGAAACAGTGTGCAAAGGATCTGAGGAGTTTCTTTGTCCTCTTGGGCATTGTAAGTCAGGATCTGATGATTTATTTAAAAAAATATAATATTAAGAAAATTTGTTTCTTGTTTTCTCAGATAACATTTTTCATTACAATTGTTTTTTTTTACAGGTTTTCTTGGCATTTGGACTTTTCTTCTATGTCCACTTGTCCAGGGTTGTCTTGAAATACTCATCCTTTGAAAAGGCAATGATGTCAACTTTGGTTGCTTCTTTTGGTGGGTGACTCTGCAATTTGAATTTTAAACAGAATCAATCTTGCAACATCATGATTTTTGCAGGCAAATTTGACATCCAGGAAATGGCACTTGGTCATGCAGTTTTAGGCCCAATCATGTTCTTTGTGTTTGCACTTACTGTCATCATAGTACTCACAAACTTGCTGCTGACCATCATCATCATGTCATTTGCAGAGGTG